TCACCCAAACTGGAAAACACTGCAGCCAGTTCTATTTGTTATAGTGTACCGTGCTCCTGGACCGTACTCTGATTTTATATCTGAATTTTCAGAGTTTTTATCAAGTTTAGTCCTTAAATCAGATAAAGTAATTATTGTAGGTGATTTTAATATTCATGTGGATGTTGACAATGACAGCCTTAGTAACGCATTTATATCATTAATAGACTCAATTGGCTTCTGTCAGAGTGTAAATAAACCAACTCATTGTTTTAATCACACTCTTGACCTTGTTTTATCATATGGCATTGAGATTGAACATTTAATAGTCTTCCCACATAATCCTTTCCTATCTGACCATTATTTAATAACTTTTGAATTCATATTATTAGATTATAAGCCATTAGGCAAAACTTCCTACAGCAGATGTTTATCTGACAGTGCTGTAGCTAAATTTAAGGAGGAGATTCCTTCAGTGTTTAATTCAATGCCATGTCTGAATTTAACAGAGTCCTATAACAACTTTAGTCCCTCCCAAATTGATAATCTTGTCGATAGTGCTACAGGCTCACTATGATCAACATTAGACTCTATCGCTCCTATAAAAGGAAATTATTAAAACATAGGAGACTAGCACCTTGGTATAACCACCAAACCCGCCAGTTAAAACAAATAGCTAGGAAATCTGAAAGGAAATGGCGCTCTTCCAAATTATCAGAATATCGCTCAATTTGGCAAGATAATCTTAAAACCTATAGAAAGGCCCTCCGTAATGCCAGAGGAGCCTATTATTCAGCACTAATAGAAGAAAATAAGAACAACCCTAGGTTCCTCTTCAGCACTGTAGCCAGGCTGACAGAGAGTCACAGCTCTATTGAGCCACATATCCCCATAAACTTAAGTAGCAATGACTTCATGAGCTTCTTCTATAATAAAATTATTACTATTAGAGAAAAAATTAATCACGAACTGCCATCAACAGTTATCAGTGGCTCTCCAAGTTCAGGGACTTTAACTAATGTAAACTCAGATATATATTTAGACTGTTTTTCTGCTATTAATCTTCATCAGTTAACTTCAATAATTTCTACATCGAAGCCCTCAACCTGTCTATTAGACCCGATCCCAACTAGGCTGCTTAAAGAAGTTGTTCCCTTAATTGGCACTTCTTTACTGGATATGATTAATCTTTTTTTATTATCAGGATATGTACCACAGTCCTTTAAAGTAGCTGTAATTAAACCCCTTCTTAAAAATTCCACTCTTGACCCTGGGGTTTTAGCCAACTATAGACCGATTTCTAACCTCCCCTTCCTCTCTAAGATTCTGGAGAAAGTAGTCGCCAAAGAGTTGTGTGACTTTCTACATTACAATAGTTTATTTGAGGATTTTCAGTCAGGATTTAGAGTTCATCATAGCACAGAGACAGCTCTGGTTAAAGTTAATAATGACCTTCTGACTGCTTCTGACAATGGACTTGTCTCTGTACTTGTATTATTAGATCTTAGTGCTGTTTTTGACACCATTGACCATGATATTCTTTTACAGAGACTCGAGCATCAAATTGGCATTAAAGGAACTGCCCTAAGCTGGTTTAAGTCATACTTATCAGATCGTTCTCAGTTTGTACATGTTAACGATGAATCCTCCATAAATACTAAAGTTAGTCATGGAGTTCCACAAGGTTCTGTACTTGGACCAATACTATTTACTTTATATATGCTCCCTTTAGGCAACATTATTAGGAATCACTCCATTAACTTTCACTGTTATGCAGATGATACGCAGTTATATCTATCAATCAAACCCAATGAAATTAATCAATTATCTAAATTACAAACATGTCTTATGGACATAAAATCCTGCATGACCTGCAATTTTCTGATGTTAAACTCAGAAAAAACGAAATTCTTGTTCTTGGCCCCAAAAACCTTAGAGACTCATTGTCTAAAGATATAGTCACTCTAGATGGCATTAACTTGGCCTCTAGAACCACTGTCAGGAATCTTGGAGTTATCTTTGATCAGGATTTGTCATTTAACTCCCACATAAAGCAGACCTCTAGGACCGCCTTCTTTCATTTACGTAATATTAGAAAAATTAGACACATACTATCACAGACAGATGCAGAAAAACTAATCCATGCATTTGTTACTTCAAGGCTGGATTACTGCAACTCTTTATTATCAGGTTGCCCCAATAAGTCCATTAAAACGCTCCAATTAATTCAGAACGCTGCAGCACGAGTACTGACAGGAACTAGAAAAAGAGGTCACATCTCTCCTGTACTAGCTACTCTGCATTGGCTCCCTATAAAATGTAGAATTGAATTTAAAATCCTCCTCCTCACCTATAAAGCTCTTCATGGTCAGGCCCCTTCATATCTTAAAGAGCTCATAGTACCGTATTACCCCACTAGAACATTACGTTCTCTGAATGCTGGGCTACTTGTGGTTTCCTATAGTCTCTAAAAGTAGAACAGGAGCCAGAGCCTTCAGTTACCAAGCTCCTGTGGAACCAGCTTCCAGTTGTGGTTCGGGAGGCAGACACCCTCACCACATTCAAGAGTAGGCTTAAGACATTCCTCTTTGATAAAGCTTATAATTAGGGCTGGATCAGGTGAGTCCTGAACCATCCCTTAGTTATGCTGCTATAGGCCTAGACTATCGGGGGATTTCCCATGGTGCACTGAGCTACTCTCTTCCTCTCTCTTTCTGCACTCATTCATGTCCCATTAATGCATGTTACTAACTCCACTTCTTCCCCAAAGTTCTTGTGCTTTCTCGTTTCGCAGGTTCTCATGGATCCTGGTGGAGCCTCCTGCCATGGTCCTGCTTGACTGCCATTGCCAATAGTGTTGTTGCTGTGCACCTCTCTCTCTGCCTCTCTCTCTCTCTCTCTCTCTCTGCCTCTCTCTCTCTCTTGCTGTCTCTCACCCCAACTGGTCGAGACACACGACCACCCACCTAGAGCCGAAGGATCTGTCCTAGGTTTCTGCCTTTTAACAGGCAGTTTATCCTTACCCTTTTCGCCAAGTGCTTGCTCATGGTGGTACTGTTGGGTCTCTGTAAATAATGTTATAAAGAGTTCAGTCTAGACCTGCTCTAGTGTCTGGAGATAACTTCTGTTATGAATTGGCGCTATACAAATAAAATTGAATTGAATTGAATTGAATTGATAAAACTGAAATCATTTTATTTGGCCCTGAAAACTTTGTCACTGCGGTTGATCAGTTTATTGGACTATTTCGCACTACTATCAAACCCACTGCATAGAATCTGGATATCATCTTCGACCAGTATATGACATTTGACCTTCATGTCACAAAACTTGTCCAGTCCTGTTTCCTGCAGCTACGAAATATAGCAAAAATCTGAAGTTTCCTGTCCTCCAGTGATCTTGACCAATTAATTCACAGCTTCATTTTATCCCATCTAGATTACTGTAACTCCCTCTACACGTGCCTCAGTCAAGCTTCGTTAAACCGATTACACTTAGTCCTAAATGTAGCCACCAGACTTTCAACCAGAACCAGCCGTCAGTGCCACATTACTCCTGTTCTTGCATCCCTTCATTGGCTTCCGGTAAAATTTAGAATCAATTATAAGATCTTACTGATTACATATAAGGCACTTCATGACCCCCAGTTAAATTGCAGATCTCCTTGTTCCTCATTCCACTCCTTGGCCACTCCACTCCTCAAATCTCTGCCTTTTTTCCATTCCCTGCTCTAACGGTAAAACTAAAGGTGACCTTTAGTTTTAGCCCAGTTGCTGTTTTAGCCCAAACATTGTGGAATAGTCTTCCATTCACTTAGATTCAATTTGTGGACAGTTTTAAGCGGCTGCTCAAAACCCAATTCTACAGACCTTTTTATAGATCTCCTTGTTCATTTTCTCATCATGTCATGTCTCTTAATTTATCCTTCCCTCTTGTTTTGTCTTCCTTTGTTTTTACTTGCTTTCTATGTTTGAGTTTTTGTGTGTTGTTATGTTTGTTTATTTATTGTTTGGAAAGCACTTTGGATCTCTGTGTCAAAAAGGTTTTATATAAATAGAGTTGTACTTAGTTACTTACTTACCTCAGTATAAAGTACTACAGTAACGGTACTAATACCTCAGTAAAAAGTACTCCACTACAGTAACAGTACTAATACCGCAGTATAAAGTACTCCACTGCAGTAACAGTACTAATACCACAGTATAAAGTACTCCACTACAGTAACGGTACTAATACCGCAGTAAAAAGTACTCCACTGCAGTAACAGTACTAATACCACAGTATAAAGTACTCCACTACAGTAACAGTACTAATACCACAGTATAAAGTACTCCACTACAGTAACAGTACTAATACTGCAGTATAAAGTACTCCATTACAGTATAAAGTACTCCATTACAGTAACGGTACTAATACCGCAGTAAAAAGAACTCCACTACAGTAACGGTACTAATACCACAGTATAAAGTACTCCACTACAGTAACAGTACTAATACTGCAGTATAAAGTACTACTCTAGTCTCTCTCGCCCCAACTGGTCGAGGCAGACGACCACCCACCTAGAGCCGAAGGATCTGTCCTAGGTTTCTGCCTCTTAAAAGGCAGTTTTTCCTTTCCGCTGTCTCCAAGGTCTTGCTCATGGTGGTACTGTTGGGTCTCTGTAAATAATGTTATAAGGACTTCGGTCTCGACCTGCTCTATTTGAAAAGTGTCCTGAGATAACTTCTGTTTTGAATTCAATTCAATTCAATTAATGGTAGTCATTGATCAGGCAGTCACCAGATGTTACATGATTAACATCAGAGTCAGAGGGAAGTAAAACAAAAGGTAGTGATCAGATGTGATGGAGACAAAGGGCAGGAAAGGTAGGTGTGGGGGTTTGGTCAAGGGGAGAGCAGACAACAAGAATACACATTTAGAATATGAAGATCAAGGGACACAAATGGGTTTGTTAACAAGTTTGGAGAATGTGAATTTTCTTCCTCACGATGATGTCAGCTCCTCTCCTCTATCTTTCTCAGGTGTTGTACGGAGGTAAAGAGGGGCGGGGCTTGCAGGCCAGGTACATGGTGTTGGACAGCGATGGCGACCGACTTGTGCCGACACACTCGCTCGCTCCAGCACACACTGATGGGACGCTCGGAGGTCTGAGGCCACTGAGTCACTCCTTCAACTTCCCCGGAGGAAAACCCCCCACTGCCAGTTTCTGTTGGTTCAGTCCAGAGGAGGCCTGCACTGAGGGTGTGTTCACTGACCTTCAGGGAGGGTGGGACTTTTTATTCAACATAGATTCTGTCAACTTTATCTGTGATGGGGTGTTCAGGTTCTGCTGGGAAAGTTCAGGACGTCCACGTTAAGTGAAGATCTGAGCTGTGTTCAGACCATCCTGATAAAGAGTAAACTGTATGACTTTGTTTATCTAATTCCGTAGTTTAGTTTGGGGTGTCAGGTCTCCCTCTCAGCATTTAAGATAGTCAGCCATAAAGATGTACACACATCAAAATGTACACCCTTACACCAAATGACATAAAATATTAATTTCCACTGTCCCAAAGTTCACCAAAAACAGAAGTAGTCAAAATGTTCTTTTCCATAAATCTACATGTATATATATATCAGTGATTTGAAGGTTGATGGATCGGTACAGTCTCGGATGTGTTTGGGGAAAGAGGTCCAGAGTGAATTTTTGGTCGGAGGAAGGCTGTTTGTGGCGGTACAGATTGAAATGAAATGAAATGATTAAAAACAACCATACACTGTTTATTTGAGCACTATTAATCCTTATTGAGTTTGCTCCTAAAAAGACTAGAACTCTCCTGCTCTGCTCTAAAACTCAGTGAATGGTGTCTCTGGGGGTGTATACTGGTGTTTCAGTCCAGGTGATACAATCCAGGTAGTCACAGTGTGTAGTTAACTTTCACTGGATCTGATCCAGTTTCAGGGTTAGATGTTCAACATGTTTTTACTTTTGTCTGATTATTATTTTATGTGTTAATCTGCAGGTTTGAGCACAGTGACGATGTTGTTTGTCTTCCTGTTGTTCTGTGCTCTGATTGGAGCTTTTTTCTACTGGATCAGGTGATCACACACACACACACACACACACACACACACTTCCTGTGCTCTGTTTACTCTTATCAGTCAGTTAATCTGTCTGCACTCAAACACAAAACATTTCCATTATTAATCAATGAAGTGTAACCTGATCAGGGCAGCTGTGTCTCTAGAGCAGGTCGTCCAATTCAATTCAATTCAATTCAATTTCAATTCAATTCAATTTTATTTGTATAGCGCCAATTCATAACAGAAGTTATCTCAGGACACTTTTCAAATAGAGCAGGTCTATACCGAACTCTTTATAACATTAATTACAGAGACCCAACCGTACCACCATGAGCAAGACCTTGGAGACAAGGGCAAGGAAAAACTGCCTGTTAAAAGGCAGAAACCTAGGACAGATCCTCCGGCTCTAGGTGGGTGGTCGTCTGTCTCGACCAGTTGGGGTGAGAGAGAAAGAGAGAGAGAGCGAGAGAGAGAGGCAGAGAGAGAGAGAGCGAGAGACAGACAGACAGACAGGTGCACAGCAACAACAGTATTGGCAATGGCAGTCAAGCAGGACCATGGCAGGAGGCTCCACCAGGATCCATGAGAACCTGCGAGATGAGAAAGCACAAGAACTCCGGGGAAGAAGTGGAGTTAGTAACATGCATTAATGGGACATGAATGAGTGCATAAAGAGAGAGGAAGGGAGGAGCTCAGTGCACCATGGAAAATCCCCCGATAGTCTAGGCCTATAGCAGCATAACTAAGGGATGGTTCAGGACTCACCTGATCCACCCCTAACTATAAGCTTTATCAAAGAGGAATGTATTAAGCCTACTCTTGAATGTGGTGATGGTGTCTGCCTCCCAAACCACAACTGGAAGCTGGTTCCACAGGAGAGGAGCTTGGTAACTGAAGGCTCTGGCTCCTGTTCTACTTTTAGAGACTATAGGAACCACAAGTAGCCCAGCATTCAGAGAACGTAGTGTTCTAGTGGGGTAATAGGGTACTATGAGCTCTTTAAGATATGAAGGGGCCTGACCATGAAGAGCTTTATAGGTGAGGAGGAGGATTTTAAATTAAATTCTACATTTTACAGGGAGCCAATGCAGAGAAGCTAGTACAGGAGAGATGTGATCTCTTTTTCTAGTTCCTGTCAGTACTCGTGCTGCAGCGCTCTGAATTAATTGGAGCGTTTTAATGGACTTATTGGGGCAACCTGATAATAAAGAGTTGCAGTAATCCAGCCTTGAAGTAACAAATGCATGGATTAGTTTTTCTGCATCTGTCTGTGATAGGATGTGTCTAATTTTTCTAATATTACGTAAATGAAAGAAGGCGGTCCTAGAGGTCTGCTTTATGTGGGAGTTAAATGACAAATCCTGATCAAAGATAACTCCAAGATTCCTGACAGTGGTGCTAGAGGCCAAGTTAATGCCATCTAGAATGACTATATCTTTAGACAATGAGTCTCTAAGGTTTTTGGTACCAAGAACAAGAATTTCGTTTTTTTCTGAGTTTAACATCAGAAAATTGCAGGTCATCCAGGATTTCATGTCCGTAAGACATGTTTGTAATTTAGATAATTGATTAATTTCATTGGGTTTGATTGATAGATATAACTGCGTATCATCTGCATAACAGTGAAAGTTAATGGAGTGATTCCTAATAATGTTGCCTAAAGGGAGCATATATAAAGTAAATAGTATTGGTCCAAGTACAGAACCTTGTGGAACTCCATGACTAACTGTAGTATTTATTAAAGATTCATCGTTAACATGTACAAACTGCGAACAATCTGATAAATATGACTTAAACCAGCTTAGTGCGGTTCCTTTAATGCCAATTTGATGCTCAAGTCTCTGTAAAAGAATATTATGGTCAATGGTGTCAAATGCAGCACTAAGATCTAATAATACAAGTACAGAGACAAGTCCATTGTCAGAAGCAGTCAGAAGGTCATTATTAACTTTAACCAGAGCTGTCTCTGTGCTATGATGAACTCTAAATCCTGACTGAAAATCCTCAAATAAACTATTGTTATGTAGAAAGTCACACAACTCTTTGGCGACTACTTTCTCCAGAATCTTAGAGAGGAAGGGGAGGTTAGAGATCGGTCTATAGTTGGCTAAAACCCCTGGGTCAAGAGTGGACTTTTTAAGAAGGGGTTTAATTACAGCTACTTTAAAGGACTGTGGTACATATCCTGATAATAAAGAAAGATTAATCATATCCAGTAAAGAAGTGCCAATTAAGGGAACAACTTCTTTAAGCAGCCTAGTTGGGATCGGGTCTAATAGACAGGTTGATGGCTTTGATGAAGAAATGATTGAAGTTAACTGATGAAGGTCGATAGCAGAAAAACAGTCTAAATATATATCTAAATTTACATTGACAGAAGTCCCTGAACTTGGAGAGCCACTGATAACTGTTGATGGCAGTTGGTGATTAATTTTTTCTCTAATAGTAATAATTTTATTATAGAAGAAGCTCATGAAGTCATTGCTACTTAAGTTTATGGGGATATGTGGCTCAATAGAGCTGTGACTCTCTGTCAGCCTGGCTACAGTGCTGAAGAGGTACCTAGGGTTATTCTTATTTTCTTCTATTAGTGCTGAGTAATAGGCTCCTCTGGCATTACGGAGGGCCTTTCTATAAATTTTAAGATTATCTTGCCAATTTGAGCGATATTCTGATCATTTGGAAGAGCGCCATTTCCTTTCAGATTTCCTAGCTATTTGTTTTAACTGGCGGGTTTGCTGGTTATACCAAGGTGCTAGTCTCCTATGTTTTAATAATTTCCTTTTTATAGGAGCGATAGAGTCTAATGTTGATCGTAGTGAGCCTGTAGCACTATCGACAAGATTATCAATTTCAGAGGGACTAAAGTCGTTATAGGACTCTGTTAAATTCAGACATGGCATTGAATTAAACACTGAAGGAATCTCCTCCTTAAATTTAGCTACAGCACTGTCAGATAGACATCTGCTGTAGGAAGTTTTGCCTAATGGCTTATAATCTAATAGTATGAATTCAAAAGTTATTAAATAATGGTCAGATAGAAAAGGATTATGTGGGATTAAATGTTCAATCTCAATGCCATATGATAAAACAAGGTCAAGAGTGTGATTAAAACAATGAGTTGGTTTATTTACACTCTGACAGAAGCCAATTGAGTCTATTAATGATATAAATGCATTACTAAGGCAGTCATTGTCAACATCCACATGAATATTAAAATCACCTACAATAATTAGTTTATCTGATTTAAGGACTAAACTTGATAAAAACTCTGAGAATTCAGATATAAAATCAGAGTACGGTCCAGGAGCGCGGTACACTATAACAAATAGAACTGGCTGCAGTGTTTTCCAGTTTGGGTGAGAAAGACTAAGAACAAGGCTTTCAAATGAATTATAATTTAGTTTAGGTTTAGGGTCCATTAAAACGCTCGAATCATATATGGCTGCCACTCCACCTCCTCGGCCTGTGCCTCGAGGAATGTGAACAAAAGGTTGGTGGTTTGATTCCCGGCTCCTCCTGCTGCATGTTGAAGTGTCCTTGAGCACTAATAATAATGATCTGTGTCTACAGGAAGTACAAGAGAGCAGCGACTATCACCAAACTCATCCTGACTCTGGACGATATTGTCTTCATCGACACTCAAGTCAGCAGGAAGGTCAGAAACAATTTACCCATTAACAGTACTGCTTGTACTGATACTAGTACTGAAGTCAAGTTTTATATACAGCACAAAGTTACAAATGCCATCTAATTTGGGAAGAGAAGGGCTTCAACACAATCCCAGAGGGGAAACAGGATCCAGGACCAGCACTGTTTATAAGGACGTTGCTTTGAAATGAGTTTAATGTAATATCCAATGTGGGTTTTACTCATTGATTATGTTTAGTAGCCTGAGCACCAAGAACATTAGTGTAGTCGGATGTGGAGGCTTTATTTTTCATTCCTCTACCAGGGTTAGGGTGGAACTGCTTATGTGTTTCTGTTGTTGTTTGTTGATATTCTGGTTCATTCTGTTGTTGTTTCTATAGAAACTGAATGACGAGTCAATCATGAGAAGTCTTCTGGAAATTAAAACTCCAATCCGCTCGATTGCTCGAAGTTACATCCTGACAACACCTGAAAGCTCCAACATTGGAATACTGGAGGTACACCTGTACCTGTCTGTTTACCTGTACCTATACCTGTCTGTTTACCTGTACCTGTCTGTGTACCTGTACCTCTCTGTTTACCTATACCTGTCTGTTTACCTGTACCTGTCTGTCTGACTTACTGACTCTGTACTTTGATTGGTTGTGTTGTTACCAGGGCGACTGGGTTTGGCTGAAGAAGATACATGTTGGAAAGACAATAACAGCCATCAATCAAAAAACCCAGAGTCTGTTCAGCCAGGTACGACGAATGGAAGCTGGATGGATGCAATGTTGGGTTTTTTTGCCTTTTATTGCCTTTATTAGATACTGACAGCCGAAGATAGACAGGAAAGGGGGCAGAGAGAGAGGGGATGACACGTAGCAAAGGGCCACAGGTCGGATACGAACCCAGGCCTCTGCAGCAACTCCATACATGGGTCACCAGCTCTACCGACTGAGCTAACCAGGCGCCCATGTTTTTCATGTTTACATTAAATCATATATGGACATTAGATTAAGTTCACATATTGACAATAGAACTGATTAATATATAGAAATGTAATTAAATATATATACATTAAATTGAATAATATATAGAAATTAAACTGAATACATTTTAATAATATATTTTCTATGTCTTCTGTCCAGTTGAGGGAGATGCGACATGAGAATCTGAACCTGTACTTGGGTCTGTTTCTGGACTCGGGGATCTTTGCTCTGGTGGTGGAACACTGTCCTCGAGGAAGTCTGGCCGACCTGCTGGCCGACAGCAATGTGAGACTGGACTGGATGTTCAAGTCCTCCCTGCTCATGGACCTGATCAAGGTTTATACTCCTGATACTACCACTACTATTACTACTAATACTACTATTACTATTATTACTATTACTATTACTATTATTACTATTACTATTACTATGATCCTGGTGGAGCCTCCTGCCATGGTCCTGCCAGATTGCCATTGCCAGTACTGTTGTTGCTGTGCACCTGTCTGTCTGTCTGTCTGTCTCTCGCTCTCTCTCTCTCTGCCTCTCTCTCTCACTCACTCTCTCTCGCTCTGCCTCTCTCTCTCTCTCTCTCTCTCTCTCTCACCCCAACTGGTCGAGACAGACAACCACCCACCTAGAGCCAAAGGATCTGTCCTAGGTTTCTGCCTTTTAACAGGCAGTTTTTCCTTGCCCTTGTCGCCAAGTGCTTGCTCATGGTGGTACTGTTGGGTCTCTGTAATTAATGTTTTAAAGAGTTCGGTCTAGACCTGCTCTGTTTGAAAAGTGTCCTGAGATAACTTCTGTTATGAATTGGCACTATACAAATAAAATTGAATTGAATTGAATTGAATTACTATTACTACTATTATTACTATTATTACTATTAGGCCTACAACTATTATTATTACTACTATTACTACTATTATTACTATTACTATTACTACCACTACTATTACTATTATTACTATTACTACTTTTACTACTATTACTACCACTACTTAGACTTAGACTTTCTTTGTCATTTAGATTTGCATCAAAAGTGAAATTTCGTTACAATGGCACATAGCACAACAGGAATAGAGGAGAGGCAGTATGTACAGTCAAAAAATAGATATCCAAATATTAAACTTTTTAATATTAAAAAAAGAGAAGAGAAACCCGTAGATAATATATATTGCACAGTTTTAGAACTTTTGTATATAATACAAATAAGAAAAATACGATAAATATATCTTTTGTATAAAAGACGAAGAAGATTAAAATAACGCAATATAAAGTTAATAATAAGATAAATATAAGATAGCTTAGTCCTTTGTAGGTGTATGGTTGAGGACGGGGAGAGAAGGGGGAATGGTTATACAGTGTTCAGCAGTCTTATGGCATGTCGAAAGAAGCTATTGTTAAGTCTGGCTGTTCTGCTCCGCAGGCTGCGGAACCTCCTTCCAGAGGCCAGCAGTGACAACAGTCCATGGTGGGGGTGGGAGGGGTCACTGGTGATGTTTTGAGCCCTGGTCAAACAGCGTTTCTTTGCAATGTCCTGGAGGGGAGGAAGTGAAGTCCCAATGATTTCTCCGCTGTCCTCACCACCCTCTGTAGGCTTTTCCAGTCAGAGGCACTACAGGCCGCCGACCAGACTGAGATGCAGTTGGTCAGGATGCTCTCTATAGTTCTTCTGTAGAAGGTGGTGAGAATGGGAGCGGGTAGTACTATTACTACTATTACTATTACTACTATTACTCATACTATTAATACTACTACTGCTACTACTACCACTACTACTACTATTGGTGTTATCCATTTGTCTCGTAAATCCCCCGCCCGAGTTGGAAAGTGTAAATCTCGCAGCTATCTCGCGACATTTCACCGAGACACACCCCCTTTTGGTCGTAATATCAGCCGTCACACTCGGGGCTCCTCAGGGTACACCAAGCTAAATGAGGGTGAATGTACGACTCGCAAAACAAAGATGGCTACGCCCATATATATATATTTTTTTTAAAGTATATTTTTGGGGCTTTTATGGCCTTTATTGTAGTGTCAGCTGAAAACAGACAGGAAAGGGGGGCAGAGAGAGAGGGGATGACACGCATCAAAGGGTCACAGGTCGGATTCGAACCCTGGGCCACTGCAACAAGGACTCAGCCTTGGTACATGGGTCGCCAGCTCTACCCACTGAGCTATCCGGGTGCCCTGCGCCCATATTTCATGGTGTTGAGATGTATTTTCTTTGTATTTGTACTACGTTGGTCATTTTAATGTCGATTTTAAATGCTCATACACACTTGCTTACATTGCTGCTTTAGTCCGGTCACCAATTTATGCATTGCACGGTGTTGCTGTGCGTGCAATACAATGTAAAGTTTTGTTTTCTAGCTGGTTTGCTAAATAGGCTAATGTAGCTAATAATAACACTAGCCTGCCACTGCCCCTGGTGGCTCGAGACAAACGGGCTTGTTACCGTGCACTTGTTGAAATTTAAATAGGCGAAAATGGCAAAATATTATTGAAATGTAAGACTTGCAATAACGGAATTACTTGAAATGTTAGTGTTTCTGTAGAAAAACATTATTATTTCACATTGAGCTTGTTTAGATGAGCCACAAGCAATAACAACACAGCTGCTGCACTGGTGGCGTCCATGTTCTTTTCGACTCGTAATGCCCAAAGACAAATGGAATGCTATAAGTGGTACAAGCCAGGCAATTACGTTACGTTCTCGCGTCAGAGCAACTCAGGCGGGGGATTTACAAGACAAACGGATAGCACCATATTACTACCACTACTGTTACTATTATTATTACTACTAGTACTGAGATACTACTACTACTACTGAAATAATACTACTAGTACTGGGATACTACTACTAGTACTGAGATAATACTACTAGTACTGAGATAATATTATTAGTACTGGAATACTACTACTAATTCAATTCAATTTTATTTGTATAGCGCCAATTCATAACAGAAGTTATCTCAGGACACTTTCCAAATAGAGCAGGTGTAGACCGAACTCCTTATAACATTATTTACAGAGACCCAACAGTACCACCACGAGCAAGCACTTGGCGACAAGGGCAAGGAAAAACTGCCTGTTAAAAGGCAGAAACCTAGGACAGATCCTTCTGCTCTAGGTGGGTGGTCGTCTGTCTTGACCAGTCGGGGTGAAAGAGAGAGAGAGACAGAGAGAGAAAGAGAGAGAGACAGACAGACAGACAGACGCACAGCAACAACAGTAGCAACAACTACACTAATAGTAGTGACTGATGATGAACATGACAACAGCAACGATGGGGGACAATGAGCAGTGACAACAGCAACAACAGTAACCGTAGCTATAATAATACTTATAATAATAATAACACTAATATCAGTGATATTGGCAATTGTAGTCAAGCAGGACCATGGCAGGAGGCTCCACCAGGATCCATGAGAACCTACAAGACGAGAAAGCACAAGAACTCCGGGGAAGAAGTGAAGTTAGTCACATGCATTAATGGGACATGAATGAGTGCAGAAAGAGAGAAAGGAAGAGAGGAGCTCAGTGTATCATGGGAAATCCCCCGATAGTCTAGGCCTATAGCAGCATAACTAAGGGATGGTTCAGGACTCACCTGATCCAGCCCTAACTATAAGCTTTATCAAAGAGGAATGTCTTAAGCCTACTATTGAATGTGGTGAGGGTGTCTGCCTCCTGAACCACAACTGAAAGCTGGTTCCACAGGAGAGGAGCTTGGTAACTGAGGGCTCTGGCTCCTGTTCTACTTTTTGAGACTATAGGAACCACAAGTAGCCCAGCATTCAGAGAACGTAGTGTTCTAGTGGGTACTAGTACTGGGATACTACAACTAGTACTGAGATACTACTACTAGTACTGGGATAATACTACTAGTACTGAGATAATACTACTAGTAGTGAGATACTACTACTAGTAGTGAGATACTACTACTAGTACTGGGATAATATTACAACTGTTCCTTCAAGCGTTCATCTACCATCCCGCCTAGAAAGAGGAGAAAGACTTTTTTTGTATTCTAAATGAAACCTTTATTTAAAGCTTTCTGTGTGTTTCAGGGGATGAAGTACCTCCATCTACGAGGGCTGAGTCATGGTCGGCTCAAGTCCACAAACTGTTTAGTGGATGGACGCTTCGTTCTCAAAATAACAGACTATGGACTTCCCATGATCCTTCACTCTCAGAGCCTCAGCCTTCCTGAAGACCCTCAAGGTAAAAACTGAAACAGGAAGCTGAACATTTGTTTCTGCTGCTGAAGTGGACAAAAAATATTATATCAATTCAATTCAATTCAATTTTATTTGTATAGCGCCAATTCATAACAGAAGTTATATCAGGACACTTTTCAAATAGAGCAAGTCTAGACCGAACTCTTTATAACATTATTTACAGAGACCCAACAGTACCACCATGAGCAAGCACTTGGCGACAAGGGCAAGGAAAAACTGCCTGTTAAAAGGCAGAAACCTAGGACAGATCCTTCAGCTCTAGGTGGGTGGTCGTCTGTCTCGACCAGTTGGGATGAGAGAGAGAGAGAGAGAAACACAGAGAGACAGACAGACAGACGCACAGCAACAACAGTATTGGTAAAGGCAATCTAGCAGGACCATGGCAGGAGGCTCCACCAGGATCGATAAGAACCTGCGAGACGAGAAAGCACAAGAACTCCGGGGAAGAAGTGAAGTTAGTAACATGCAATAATGGGACATGAATGAGTGCATAAAGAGAGAGGAAGGGAGGGGCTCAGTGCACCATGGGAAATCCCCCGATAGTCTAGGCCTATAGCAGCATAACTAAGGGATGGTTCAGGACTCACCTGATCCAGCCCTAACTATAAGCTTTATCAAAGAGGAATGTCTTAAGCCTACTCTTGAATGTGGTGATTGTGTCTGCCTCCCGAACCACAACTGGAAGCTGGTTCCACAGGAGAGGAGCTTGGTAACTGAAGGCTCTGGCTCCTGTTCTACTTTTAGAGACTATAGGAACCACAAGTAGCCCAGCATTCAGAGAACGTAGTGTTCTAGTGGGGTAATAGGGTACTATGAGCTCTTTAAGATATGAAGGGGCCTGACCATGAAGAGCTTTATAGGTGAGGAGGAGGATTTTAAATTCAATTCTACATTTTACAGGGAGCCAATGCAGAGTAGCTAGTACAGGAGAGATGTGATCTCTTTTTCTAGTTCCTGTCAGTACTCTTGCTGCAGCATTCTGAATTAATTGGAGCGTTTTAATGGACTTATTGGGGCAACCTGATAATAAAGAGTTGCAGTAATCCAGCCTTGAAGTAACAAATGCATGGATTAGTTTTTCTGCATCTGTCTGTGATAGTATGTGTCTAATTTTTGTAATATTATGTAAATGAAAGAAGGCGGTCCTAGAGGTCTGCTTTATGTGGGAGTTAAATGACAAATCCTGATCAAAGATAACTAACCTAACCCTAAAGATGTTCCCTTAATTGGCACTTCTTTACTGGATATGATTAATCTTTCTTATTATCAGGATATGTACCACAGTCCTTTAAAGTAGCTGTAATTAAACCCCTTCTTAAAAAGTCTACTCTGACCCAGGGGTTTTAGCCAACTATAGACCGATTTCTAACCCCCGTTCCTCTCTAAGATTCTGGAGAAAGTAGTCGCCAAAGAGTTGTGTGACTTTCTACATAACAATAGTTTATTTGAGGATTTTCAGTCAGGATTTAGAGTTCATCATAGCACAGAGACAGCTCTGGTTAAAGTTAATAATGACCTTCTGACTGCTTCTGACAATGGACTTGTCTCTGTACTTGTATTATTAGATCTTAGTGCTGCATTTGACACCATTGACCATGATATTCTTTACAGAGACTTGAGCATCAAATTGGCATTAAAGGAACTGCCCTAACCTGGTTTAAGTCATACTTATCAGATCGTACTCAGTTTGTACATGTTAACGATGAATCCTCCATAAATACTAAAGTTAGTCATGGAGTTCCACAAGGTTCTGTACTTGGACCAATACTATTTACTTTATATATGCTCCCTTTAGGCAACATTATTAGGAATCACTCCATTAACTTTCACTGTTATGCAGATGATACGCAGTTATATCTATCAATCAAACCCAATGAAATTAATCAATTATCTAAATTACAAACATGTCTTAAGGACATAAAATCCTGGATGACCTGCAATTTTCTGATGTTAAACTCAGAAAAAACCGAAATTCTTGTTCTTGGCCCCAAAAACCTTAGAGACTCATTGTCTAAAGATATAGTCACTCTAGATGGCATTAACTTGGCCTCTAGCACCACTGTCAGGAATCTTGGAGTTATCTTTGATCAGGATTTGTCATTTAACTCCCACATAAAGCAGACCTCTAGGACTGCCTTCTTTCATTACGTAATATTAGAAAAATTAGACACATACTATCACAGACAGATGCAGAAAAACTAATCCATGCATTTGTTACTTCAAGGCTGGATTACTGCAACTCTTTATTATCAGGTTGCCCCAATAAGTCCATTAAAACGCTCCAATTAATTCAGAACGCTGCAGCACGAGTACTGACAGGAACTAGAAAAGAGATCACATCTCTCCTGTACTAGCTACTCTGCATTGGCTCCCTATAAAATGTAGAATTGAATTTAAAATACTCCTCCTCACCTATAAAGCTCTTCATGGTCAGGCCCCTTCATATCTTAAAGAGCTCATAGTACCCTATTACCCCACTAGAACACTACGTTCTCTGAATGCTGGGCTACTTGTGGTTCCTATAGTCTCTAAAAGTAGAACAGGAGCCAGAGCCTTCAGTTACCAAGCTCCTCTCCTGTGGAACCGGCTTCCAGTTGTGGTTCGGGAGGCAGACACCCTCACCACTTTCAAGAGTAGGCTTAAGACATTCCTCTTTGATAAAGCTTATAGTTAGGGCTGGATCAGGTGAGTCCTGAACCATCCCTTAGTTATGCTGCTATAGGCCTAGACTATCGGGGGATTTCCCATGGTGCACTGAGCTACTCTCTTCCTCTCTCTTTCTGCACTCATTCATGTCCCTTTAATGCATGTTACTAACTCCACTTCTTCCCCGGAGTTCTTGTGCTTTCTCGTCTCGCAGGTTCTCATGGATCCTGGTGGAGCCTCCTGCCATGGTCCTGCTTGACTGCCATTGCCAATACTGTTGTTGCTGTGCACCTGTCTGTCTGTCTGTCTGTCTGTCGCTCTCTCTCTCTCTCTCTCTCTCTCTCTCTCTCTCTCTCTCTCTCCACCCCAACTGGTCGAGACAGACGACCACCCACCTAGAGCCGGAGGATCTGTCCTAGGTTTCTGCCTTTTAACAGGCAGTTTTTCCTTGCCCTTGTCGCCAAGTGCTTGCTCATGGTGGTACTGTTGGGTCTCTGTAATTAATGTTAAAGAGTTCGGTCTAGACCTGCTCTATTTGAAAAGTGTCCTGAGATAACTTCTGTTATGAATTGGCGCTATACAAATAAAATTGAATTGAATTGAATTGAATTGAATAACTCCAAGATTCCTGACAGTGGTGCTAGAGGCCAAGTTAATGCCATCTAGAGTAACTATATCTTTAGACAGTGAGTCTCTAAGGTTTTTGGGGCCAAGGACAAGAATTTCGTTTTTTTCTGAGTTTAACATCAGAAAATTGCAGCTCATCCAGGATTTTATGTCCTTAAGACATGTTTGTAATTTAGATAATTGATTAATTTCTTCGGGCTTGATTGATAGATATAACTGCGTATCATCTGCATAACAGTGAAAGTTAATGGAGTGATTCCTAATAATGTTGCATAAAGGGAGCATATATAAAGTAAATAGTATTGGTCCAAGTACAGAACCTTGTGGAACTCCATGACTATTTATTGAAGATTCATCATTAACATGTACAAACTGCGAGTGATCTGATAAATATGACTTAAACCAGCTTAGTGCGGTTCCTTTAATGCCAATTTTTTGCTCAAGTCTATGTAAAAGAATACTATGGTCAATGGTGTCAAATGTAGCACTAAGATCTAATAATACAAGTACAGAGACAAGTCCATTGTCTGAAGGAATCAAAAGGTCATTATTAACTTTAACCAGAGCTGTCTCTGTGCTATGATGAACTCTAAATCCTGACTGAAAAACCTCAAATAAACTATTGTTATGTAAAAAGTCACACAACTCTTTGGCGACTACTTTCTCCAGAATCTTAGAGAGGAAGGGGAGGTTAGAAATCGGTCTATAGTTGGCTAGAATCCCTGGGTCAAGAGTGGGCTTTTTAAGAAGGGGTTTAATTACAGCTATTTTAAAGGACTGTGGTACATATCCTGATAATAAAGAAAGATTAATCATATCCAGTAAAGAAGTGCCAATAAAGGGTACGACTTCTTTAAGCAGCCTAGTTGGGATCGGGTCCAATAGACAGGTCGATGGCTTCAATATAGAAATTACTGAAGTTAACTGGTGAAGATCGATAGCAGAAAAACAGTCTAAATATACATCTAAGCTTACATTAGTTAAAGTTCCTGAACTTGGATAGCCACTGATAACAGTTGATGGTTGTACCACGGTGCTAGTTTCCTTTGTTTTAATAATTTCCTTTTTATAGGAGCGATAGAATCTAATGTTGATCGTAGTGAGCCTGCAGCACTATCAACAAGATTATCAATTTCGGAGGGACTAAAGTTATTATAGGACTCTGTTAAATTCAGACATGGCATTGAAATAAACACTGATGGAATCTCCTCCTTAAATTTAGCTACAGCACTGTCAGATAGACATCTGCTGTAGGAAGTTTTTCCTAATGGCTTGTCATATCTGTCTGTCTGTCTATCATACCTGTCTGTCTGTCAGAGCTGCTGTGGACAGCTCCTGAGCTTTTGAGGAATCCGGTTCGAGGAGGCTCGTTTGCTGGAGACGTCTTCAGTTTCTCCATCATCATACAGGAAGTGATCTCACGATCGCTGCCATACGCCATGATGGACATGCCTGCCCACGGTCTGTCTGTCTGACTTCCTGTCTGTGTTCCTCTGTGTCTGTCTGACCACCTGTCTGTCTGACTGTGTTCCTCTGTGTCTGTCTGACTAGCTGTCTGTGTCCCTATCTGTCTCCCAGAGATCGTGGAGCGTCTGAAACAGCCTCCTCCTCTCTGCAGACCACCTGTCTGTGTTCCTGTCTGTCTGACCAGCTTTCTGTGTTCCTGTCTGTCTCTTAGAGATTGTGGAGCGTCTGAAGCAGCCTCCTCCTGTCTGCAGACCACTGGTTTCGGTGGATGAAGCTCCTGCTGAGTGTCTCAGTCTGATGAATGACGGTTGGAATGAAGATCCGAGTAAGAGGCCGAGCTTCGATGACATTTTCAAACAGGTGAGTGGTGCTGCAGCGCTGCCACCTGCTGGCTTGTGTGGAGAATGGTTTGTTTGTAACAGTTCACATAAGATACCCACTTTCCATTTATTCCGGTTTTAAGAGCAAAGAAAAAACACTTCTTTCAGATTTTTCCCGAGAACAGATGTCAGTGTTTTGTGTTTGCAGTTTCGGGGCATTAACAGAGGGAAGAGGGCGAACATCATCGACTCCATGTTGCGGATGTTGGAACAGTACAGTTCAAACCTGGAGGATCTGATCAGAGAGCGAACGGATGAACTGGAGGTTGAGAGAAACAAGACCGATAAGCTGATCGGACAGCTCCTACCAAAGTAAGACTCACTTCAGACTGAAATAATTAAGTACAGGTTTGGTACAGCAGTGACACCAGCAGAACCTCACCTGGACCTGCAGCTGTTTTCATCAAACACAGAGCAGCAGAACTCCAGTTTCATTACCAAAAACTTCCATTCCCACCTGACAACACAACACATCATTTCACCTGTTCAGTCAGACAGGAGACATTTTCTTCTGTTTCTGGTTTACTCTCATCCTGATCTGAAGAAACAATGCAGTGATAGTAGTGAAAGACTGGATGGATGTATATCTATGATATTCTTTACTCTCTTAAAAAGTATGTCTTGTCATAAGTGTGTGTTTGTGTGTGTGTGTGTCTTTTTCAGGTCTGTGGCTCAGTCTCTGAAGAAAGGTAAACCAGTCCAACCTGAACATTATTCAGACTGCACACTTTACTTCAGTGATATCGTTGGATTTACGACCATTTCAGCTCTCAGTGAACCCATTGAGGTACAAACTATTGAAACATCTACTGATACCCAGTATCCTTCACTGTTTACATCAACCTGGATGTGTGTGTTTGTGTGTGTGTGTGTGTGTGCGTGTGTGTGCAGGTTGTCGACCTGCTGAATGACCTCTACACTATGTTTGATGCCATCATTGCGACTCATGATGTCTACAAGGTAGGTAGAACTCTTGTGATGTCTAAATGCCAGCGATGGTTTTTTGTTAATACCATCAGGATCAAGTCTCTGAATGTTTGTAAACCTAAATAATAATATTTCAGCCAACTCACGTTTGAAATGTTTATTACAGCAGTATAGCATATTTAGATTTTGGCATCTAGGCTCCGACCTCATCACTCCCCGCAGATATGTTTACATAGAGATATTGGGGAGTGATGCGCAAATACCTTAATCCCCAGTCAGAGCCTACAGGTGGATGCTGGGGTGGTGGTGGGGCTTACAACGCAGCAGGCTGCAATAGCTTACAGAGCAGCAGCAGCAATACGGATGCAGGGCAACAGCAGCATTGACAGAGCAGAGGGAGAGCAGGGCAGTTTAAATAGACCGCCAGATTGGAGGGGAGCGCTTGTTTGGTGATTATGGAACAGGGCATGTCATGTGTGTAATCAGCGCAGCTCGAGTTGACTGCCTGAACCAGCTCGCAGGCTCCGCTTCATAAACATGTTTTGTGTGTTTTGTTTGCAGGTGGAAACTATTGGAGACGCCTATATGGTGGCTTCAGGTATTCCCAACAGAAATGGGAATCGACATGCAGCTGAAGTGGCCAACATGTCTCTGGACATCCTGCACTCAATAGGAGCTTTTAAGATCAAACACATGCCTGAGATTAAAGTCAAAATACGCATCGGACTGCACTCTGGTACACACAAACAGTTTTTAATACTTTGATTTTAAGCAACGCTCCCTGAAAAGTGAGTAAAAAAAAAAAGTAGAGATTTCACCAGTTATTAGTTCAACATCGGCTAAACATCAGCCAGTCATCGGCCAGACTACCAATAATAAACCAGTCCCTCCAGAAAAATGTGGCGTTTTTTTGTGATTGTTGCGGGCAAAAATCCTTGATTATGTGGCACGTTTTCTTAAAAAATGCGAAGAAATATGCGTCATATTTATGTAATTTTATGCGATGAAATTGCGGGAACTTGCAAAAATTGTGGGAACTTGCAAAAAATTGCGAGAACTTGCAAAAACTGCGGTTTGATGAAAAAGAGGGAAAAAAAGTGATTCCCCCAACACCCTCTCCTCACTAGGCTTCATCGCAGGGTTTGCAGCTTTTCGATGACGCTCACATCGCATAATTACGTCACTTCATAATGGCTGCTCTTGTGTGAACTAAATGCAACATTTTTCAACTTTCTGCTAAGATATATGTGACTTTTTTGCCACGAAAATGCGGGGATTATGAAATCATGCAAGCCCCGCATATTTTGCGTGGAAATCCGCAATTTATGCGGCGAAGGTGCGGCTGATTATGCATAGAATTATGCGATCTCATAATCGCGTTTTTCTGGAGGGACTGATAAACACTGACTTTGTGCTGTCATTCAGACACTCATCCTTCATCTGTAAAGTTGTGATTTATTAACTGTGAAGAGTTCCTGACAGTTTAGGGTTAGGGCTAGATTTAGTCATCAACTGGGTGATGATCTGTCTGTCTGTCTGTCTGTCCTTAGGGCCAGTGGTAGCAGGTGTAGTCGGTCTCACGATGCCCAGGTACTGTCTGTTTGGAGACACAGTGACCACAGCCTCTCACATGGAAGCCAGCGGACTGCGTATGTTACAATCAGTGATTCTGTAGAAAATGACTGGAACTGTTTAATCTGACATAAATATTTCTGTTGGTGTTTGAATAATGAGTCAAGATCAATGACTCATATTTAATAATCATTTTGTGTTTGTGGTCTCCAGCCTACAGGATCCACATCAGTCTTAGTACAGTGAAGGTCCTGACCAGTCTCAAACTGGGATACCACATAGACACCAGAAAGGCCCAGGTACAATGACAGTTCTGTACTGTTTGACCCTAACCCCCCTAAGCTTTACCCCTAATCCAACAGGACATTGGCCATTTTTAATTTAGAGGCCACTTATATGTGTTGTAGAACAGAACTGAAATGTGATCAAACGTTTTTGAAGGTGAAAGGTACGGTGGACACGTACTGGCTGATGGGTCGAGATGATTTTGATAAACCTCTTCCTGTTCCTCCAGACCTCATTGGGGGGTAAGAACACACACAGACACACACAGACATTTACAACACATCATGAATATGATAAGAATTGTTAGTGAAACGAAATTGATTGCTCTGAGGTCAAAAACTGTTTCTTTGAATATTTTACATATTTTTCATAACTCTCTCGCTAACCTCTGTCTCCATAACCTGTCTCTCTCTTTCTAAACTGTCTCTCTAACCTGTCTCTCTCTATCTCTGTAACCTATCTCACTCTCAGGGCCAGTAACCATGGTATCAGTCTGGATGAGATTCCAATAGAAAGAAGACAAAAGTTTCTGGACCGACAGAAGAAGATGAAGAAATGATGTCATCACACAGACAGACAGACAGACAGACAGACAGACGCAGTCACACACACAGCACAGTAACACACACACATATACACATACACACACACACTACCTCGAGTATTGGACTCTGCTTTGAAGGACAGTTTATTAGCTTGTGAGACATTTTCAGCCAAAACCTGAACGGAGACATGTACACGGACTGATTTCTACTTCCTGTTTGTAGAGCTGAAGGACACTCGGCTCTAATTGATTAATCATTTATTGATCCAGTCAATCTCTGTGCCTCACATGGGTCTGTGATACATTAATACTCTCTGTATACAGTAATACTACCATAACATAGTAAATGTATGCATTTACATATACATTACTAACCAGATATATAATGTAGCAGTACATATACAATATTATATTATATAGATTGTCATGTTCTTTAGTGCAGTGCATGCTGGGAAAGACTCCCTCTGTGAGACTGTTAAAGAATTAATCAATGAGTAAATTAATAAATTAATGAATACATGAGTGAATGAATGAGTGTACCCTTTACTTTTACCTCAACATTTTGTCCTACTGGAGCTGCAGTGATCAGTTTCTGATAATCAATAATCAGTTGTTTGGCTGAAACCTTTATTGATTGTTCAGTCTTTTTCTGTCATGTCAGCAATGTGTTATTCATTACATGTCTTTAGTTTTCTTGTCTAAAGTCACAAATGGCCTACATCTCTCGCAGTCACATATTTATCATTACTGAAGACAAACAGCATGAAGAAGGTATTAAAATGTAAATATACATGAGAAAACTTCCCATCATCCATTTCATCTAACCTTCTTTAAGATTAGATCTTATGTGATGTACTTGAAGGCACCTCACACCTTTTAAAAGATGTAAATGACAGCCAACTGGTTTTGCTCAGCACTATCAGTTATAATCTGAATATAACAATTCAATTCAATTCAATTTTATTTGTATAGCGCCAATTCATAACAGAAGTTATCTCAGGACACTTTTCAAATAGAGCAGGTCTAGACCGAACTCTTTATAACATTATTTACAGAGACCCAACAGTACCATCGTGAGCAAGCACTTGGCGACAAGGGCAAGGAAAAACTGCTTTTCAAGAGGCAGAAACCTTGGACAGACCCTTCGGCTCTAGGTGGGTGGTCATCTGCCTCGACCGGTTGGGGTGAGAGAGAGAGAGAGAGACAGGTGCACAGCAACAACAGTTGCTCCACCAGGATCGATAAGAACCTGCGAGACGAGAAAGCACAAGAACTCCGGGGAAGAAGTGAAGTTAGTAACATGCATTAATGGAACATGAATGAGTGCATAAAGAGAGAGGAAGAGAGGAGTTCAGTGCACCATGGGAAATCCCCCGATAGTCTAGGCCTATAGCAGCATAACTAAGGGATGGTTCGGGACTCACCTGATCCACCCCTAACTATAAGCTTTATCAAAGAGGAATGTCTTAGAAAGAGAGAGGAGGAGAGGTGTCGTGGAAATTCTTCTCAAAGTTGAGAGGTGCTAAGTCTCTGAAGAACTTTCAAGCTGGTGTGATAATCAAGTCACTTTAATTCATGCAGCATGGAGAGAAGGTCACATAGTGAATGTTCTCTCTCGACTTCCAAAGTGCTCTCCCTTATATACATTTCAGTGCATCTCATTACATTACAAACAATGAAACCCCGTTTGTCTTGCAAATGTTACTCCTGTAAATCCAGGTCTCTCTCACCAAATGGTCCTTCCATCTGGGCCTTCCCCCTGGCTCTTCTTATCATAAAACTCAACCCTTTGACCAGGGGCACATCTATTTTATTACCCCCAAATCCTGTTTCTTTCCCTCATTCCCTCCTTTTGACACAACGTGTCAACTAGACACAATATTTCCTTTAAACATTTTAACAAAATTACTAATGATTAAAAATTACAAGTTATTATGAACAAATTTTTAACCTCAAACAATACAAAAGAAACAAAAAGAAAAATCAAAAACACATTATATCACTCTGACTATACCAATACTTCATCTTCATCACTTTCACTGTATGGATTTCCTGGGGCCCAATCTGCTATGGTACAACATTCTTCACTATCATTACTTTGTTCCAAAGGTATTTTCACATAGACTGGTGTAATTTCCTCCTCCAATTACCCCCCCTATCCATCTGTACATGTTTGGCTGGTCTGCAAAATACTGAACTAGACTAATTACAGGATCCAAACAAGGACATTGTTTTACATCTAGTTAGAATAAAGACTTAGGATGTCATCTTCCTCTGGGATCTCCTGATCCTGCGTAGGTGACATGCCAATGCAACTTCTACCCTCTGAGTCCTGTATAGTTGTGGATTTATGGGACCTTTTGGACCCCATTTGTTGCCAGTTCTCATCTTGTTGCTGGAATTCAATTCAATTCAATTTTATTTGTATAGCGCCAATTCATAACAGAAGTTATCTCAGGACACTTTTCAAATAGAGCAGGTCTAGACCGAACTCTTTAACATTAATTACAGAGACCCAACAGTACCACCATGAGCAAGCACTTGGCGACAAGGGCAAGGAAAAACTGCCTGTTAAAAGGCAGAAACCTAGGACAGATCCTCCGGCTCTAGGTGGGTGGTCGTCTGTCTCGACCAGTTGGGGGGAGAGAGAGAGAGAGAGAGAGAGAGGCAGAGAGAGAAAGAGAGGCAGAGAGAGAGAGAGGGAGAGACAGACAGACAGACAGGTGCACAGCAACAACAGTATTGGCAATGGCAGTCAGGCATGACCATGGCAGGAGGCTCCACCAGGATCCATGAGAACCTGCGGGACGAGAAAGCACAAGAACTCCAGGGAAGAAGTGGAGTTAGTAACATGCATTAATGGGACATGAATGAGTGCATGAAGAGAGAGGAAGGGAGGAGCTCAGTGCACCATGGGAAATCCCCCGATAGTCTAGGCCTATAGCAGCATAACTAAGGGATGGTTCAGGACTCACCTGATCCAGCCCTAACTATAAGCTTTATCAAAGAGGAATGTTTTAAGCCTACTCTTGAATGTGGTGAGGGTGTCTGCCTCCCGAACCACAACTGGAAGCTGGTTCCACAGGAGAGGAGCTTGGTAACTGAAGGCTCTGGCTCCTGTTCTACTTTTTAGAGACTATAGGAACCACAAGTAGCCCAGCATTCAGAGAACGTAGTGTTCTAGAGGGGTAATAGGGTACTATGAGCTCTTTAAGATATGAAGGGGCCTGACCATGAAGAGCTTTATAGGTGAGGAGGAGGATTTTACACGCATGGAGTGAGCTCAATAAAGTCCATCATCATGTGTTCAAATGGTCCTTCAGGTTTAGGATGGGCTGATAGAGGTAGTGAAATTCCTCTCCCTACATTGTTCGTAACACAAATAACACATTTTTTACAGAAGTTTTCAGCAAAAGTAGAAAACCCTGGTGCATACCAAAATTTATTTACAATATCTAACATTCCCCGTTTTGACACATGATCTGGCCCATGGGTCAATTTTGCCAAAAAAGGGAATATAGACTTCGACAGTACTGGGAACCCATTGGGGTTTACCCATACTCCGGACATGAGTTTAGTGCACCCTTTCCTTTTCCAGAGGGCATTCTCCCCAGCGTCAGCTCCTGCTCGAAGCACCGAGACATCATTAAGGGAAAAAACATCATCCTGGACAGAAAGGGGCATTTGCAAAATAGGGGAGACAGGCGAAAGAGCAGCAGCCTTTGCTGCTTCATCAGCAGACGCATTTCCATGTGCCACCGGATCAGTCGCTCCTGTGTGTGCCTGGCATTTGCATACTGCAACAGAGACAGGCAGTAGCAATGCAGACAACAAGTTAATGATGAGAGTGTGATGAGCAATAGGCTTTCCTGTGGAAGTAAGAAACCCTCGATTTTTCCACAAAGTATGGAAATTATGGCACACATTGAATGCATACTGGGAGTCAGTATACACTGTGATGTTTTGTCCTGCACCTAAAATAAAAGCACGGGTTAATGCAAATAATTCAGCTGCCTGTGCAGAGAGGTTATTAGGCAGTCTTGCACTTTCAACAATTGCATGTTCATTACACACAGCAGGACACACTTGGTAATCCATTGGATGGATGCCTCATGCCAGAACCATCTACAAAGAAAACAGAATCAGAGTTAGGAAGTGGAGTGTCGAAAAGTGCATCTCTTGGTTGCGATACTGTGTCCACCACCTCCAGACATGCATGTGGTTCTCCATCATCATGTAGGACCTTGTCCTCGTCTTCCTCTACAAGAGACGCTTTATCTGTCTCTTAATTCAACAATCATCATATTATTTTGATTTTGTTCCACCAGGAGAGTTTTCAAGGCCTCCTCTTTCCCTTTGACCTTTTTGACCCAGGAGGGGAGGTGAGACTGTGGCACCGACAGTCTCCTGCACAGAGAGCCTGGTTCTTTTCAGAATCTCAGATGGGATCTCTAAGGTGTCAATATGTTTTATCCTCTTTAACAGAACACTGACTTCTCCACAGATCAGAACGACACCCTACACCTAAAGTGGATCGTGTGTGATAACATAAATGCCTTTTTGATTGTAAATCAGGGTTAGATATCCCTGAAATGTGTTTACATCTCTTTTAGTCTGACAGGTCCACCTCCAGAGAGAAACTCCTCTGGAATCCACATCTGGCATTCTGACACCCCTTCCTCTAAAGTGTAAATTACGATGTTTTCTTTTGATAGTTGACATTCCAATCTAGGAAGCAGTAACAGCAGTTGCACAGATATAGATTTAGTTCTGTTGGAGTATTATGGTAAAATTTCATCTCCTCCTAATTAACAGATTGCCATCCAGCATGAGAAGGACGCAAATGTAATGTTTGTCTGATGTTTCTGTCATCAGATTGGACTAAGTTACAAAATCATGTGTAAAATCTCTGAATGTTTGATGGAGCCACAGTGCCACCTTTTGGTAAGGTTCTGGTATAGCGTAAGGTACTTTCAAAACGAACTTTGTTTGATAACTGTATAGTAATACAATAAGTAAATGCCTGACACATATTTGTTATAACAAGGATTAAGCTAGCACTATACGAAATATGTACAGTCCATCAGTGCTGTTTTATGTGCGTGTTTAATGATTAATGATTTAATGACTTTAATCAGTTCCACTTTTCTTTTACATTAAGTAATTTCGGTTATGTTATGTTAAAACATGTGAACTATGTATTAAGTCATGGTGGGTTCTGTGAACGGTGAATTATGATCTCGAAACTTTAAAACACGATAGGAGTAAGTTGATAAAGTTACGTATATCAAATTATCATCAGAGGAAGTGACGCGCGCGGTCAGCTCCTCTCGTCCAGTTCCGCCTCAAGAATAAAAGATATAAGAGATAGACTCCGGTCACTCTTCACTCTCCTCTTCTTTCTTCTCTCTCGCTTTTCTTCTCTCTCTTGTATCAACTCGTTATTTATTCTCGCTTTTTCTTTAATTTCCGTACTTTATTTTACTTCGTTTGCGACACGTGTTAATTTTTCCTCAAGTAAT